TGCAGGTGCTTGATGCCTTGCAGAGTTAACCTGTTTTAAAAGAACATTGTAATTTTTGTTTGTTTAACATGACATTTCTGCTTTTCAAATGTGCAGAAAACTTCATTTTGTATGTCTTGAATAGAGAAGTGTTTGGCTGCTGTATTTTATTTCTCTTGGCTTTCCTCCAGTTGATTGATTTTTACCATCTCTTACTAGGTGCCTTTTGTTACCATTTAATAGGGTAGTCTTCACAGTCAGTGTTACCAGCTCAGCAGATAGCCTGGGTGTCCTCTGTACTTATTATTGGATAGATGCTTTTGTGGAGCACTTTAGCCTTGAAATGTTTACTGTTCCCTTGCAGACACACTTACCAGTTCTTTACAAAAGAAAAAAATATTTGCCTGCTTTAGATTAAAAAGAATACTGCTTGTGGTTAGCTTTTTGTAAACTTTAACTACTCATTCTTTATTTTTTCCATTCTCTATTGGGGACTATTATCAAAGAAAACTGCACAGGCTAAAATGCTGCTCTGATTTTCTTGTGTTTTGTCAGTTTCAGCAGTTTCATCTTCTATTTCAATACGTTTATATTAATACATTTGTATGAAACTAAGTGATATAGGCTGCTTCCCTCAGCTTACACATCTGAAGTTATTTCAGTCTGCTGGGATTTTTCTCTAGAGATGCTGCTCTTTATAAAACAAAAGCTATTCAGTAGTTGTAGTAACAACTTCCCAGTTAGCCATTCGTGTTAAATAAACTGGCCTGTGCACATGATGTAGGAGTCCTTGGTAATGAAGGGAATTTCAGTTTCATGCTTTCAGGGTGGTAACAGAGAGAGAGAAGAAACAGTGATACCTTCGCCAGACCTCAACCTGTTGACATAGTCAACAAAGCTCTACTATTTATTTATTTTACCTCAAGCATTCCCTGGGCCATGCGTATTCCCTAAGAACAGTTTTAAAATAACTCCTTGCTGTGGCCTGTAGCTGTCCTGAGTTGCTACAGCCTGAATTTGACACTGTTTTCAGTAATTTTGTTCTTGCCTGTAGAGCCTCTGAGTAGTAGGAAAGGCACTTACTAACATTTTACAGTTTTGCTCTGCTGCTGCTTCAGCCAGCACGGTGAAATTGGGAAGATGCTGGGGCTTCCGATCACATTTGGAGGACTGAGTTAAAAATTGTATAGCCAGAGCTGAGTTTCATTCGGTGTAAAAGTGCTGTTGAAATTGTGACATAATTGTGACAACTGCCGAACTGCTTTTCCACCCGTTGCTTTAGAAAAGACCGAGTTTTCCAAAGCTTCTAAATGGGTAGGAAGTAAATTCAGTGCTATGTGACTACAGCATAGAAGACCTTAAAGAAAAGTAGTCTCGTGAGAAGCACCATTGGGCTGTCCTGGGAACTTCAATTCTGCATTTCTTGGCCTCATGACGAAGCTTGCATTTTGACATCTTTTTCGTGTTTCAGACGCATTGGTTGAGGTGAAGTGTGGGGCAGTAGAACAGCTGTAGGTGACCCAGTGTGCTGCCTGGGTGTTGGGAATGAACAATGTTGGATGACAACGTGCGCCGTACTCTGTGCAGAAAACAGTGGGATGAATCCTCTGTTCTCCAGAAAGTGTTTGCACAAACTCGAAAGGAGTAGAACAAAAACAAAATTATTTTTTTCTTTGTGGTAAATCAGAAATGAAGTGGTGGGTGTGCACAGCAGTAAATAAATGCTCGGTGTGATAATAGGGGAAACTTCCTTGCAGTAAGGATACTGAAGCGCTGAAATAGATATTTTAGGGAGGGTGTCTATGAAATCATTGCATGTTTTTAAGAACAGGTGAGAGAAACACTACCCAGAAGTTGTTTGTATATATTTGATCCTACCTTTGGAGGAGGTTGGGAAGGAAGAGATAACCTCTGGTGGTCCCCTCTAACCTGATAATGTGGTCCTCAGGGCTAAACTAATAGCTACAGTTCAGACCATTAAAACACACTTGTTTGAAAGTTTCCCAGTTCTGTTCTTGTTGGGACTATGAGATCTGACATTGCTGGTAGGTAGCAACTTGATGGCAGACTATTAATTTGTTACTGCATTCATTGCTCCCTCAGTGAATGGACGAGTAAGTATAAAACTTAGGTAATGAACAGCAATTCACATGTAGAGCTGTGGTTAAATAGTCATTTAAACCACCTGTAAAGATCTTGAATGTATAAAATCTTTCAAAATAATTCAAGCAAGGTATTCTTTTCTATCAAGGTGTTTTCACCCATCTAACCACAGGAAATCCTGGCTAGCTTTTCAGACAATGCAAGGTCAAACCTATTTATTCTGGTACAATTTTAACAGCAAGTTTTTGACAGCATGGGTCTAGGTAAAAAAAAAAAAATCTAGTGAAATAGATAGGAAGCTGTCTGTTGTCTAGAATAAACTTTTAAGCACCACTTAGGGAGCAGAAAAGCTGTTATCACTGCTTATTCTTAAATTGATCTAAGAATAAAAAGCCAGGCGTAGAGATATTAAAATGTATGGTGTCTCACCCGTCTGGAGAGAAATCAAGTCCTCTGCCTGGTGATCTCTGCATGCTCTGCATACATTTACAGGGAGCAGTGTTGTGTTTGGAGGAGGGGGATTTTTTTCATTAATTTTTTGTGTGGTTTATTATTTTACTGTGTGTATTATATATCAAAATGCCCTCTGCTCATCACACTGTGGAAGTGGACGCAGCATGTGATAGTAGGTACTGCATGGAGAGATATTTTTTACATTTTTGTACCTACAAACTAGCCTTTTACCCTTTTGAAATCAAGGCGAAATACTGTGCTTTTCCTTTATGAAGCTACTTTCAGGTATAAATGATGAGGTTTTGCATTTAAATTTATTCGTAACTGAGGTAAAGCTATTTATCCTTCTTTAGACATGCAGAGGCCACCTGAACTTTTTAAAAGCAATATTGTCCAGTAACCTGAATTAGAAAATGAAGCACCTGGAAGCTGGAAAGTTTGTGTGATGTACAATATACCTGTTCTTCAGAACTGAAGTGACTTTATGTAACTTATATTAAAATTTTAAGTTGTCATTGACTAAAATCGGTGGCTTGATGTGTTTAATCCAGGCTGCATTACTACATTTAAAATGAAAGCTCTTGGTGACTTGTTCTGATGGTGAGAGCAGAAAAGCAAATTCAGCTGCACTTCGCAATCCTGGTACTGTTGCAGTATGATTTAGATGTTTAGAAAATGATGCATTTCTTGGTTTGTTGTGATAGATCTCTTTTTTTTAATCTTTTGTTTGCATTGGATAAGACAGGCTCTCCTTTTCCTTGGGGAAGGAGCCAGGACCTTGCAGTGTCTGGTGGAGCAGATGGGGTGGTGGGTGCCTTCCAAGGTGCCTCAGGGCCAAGCTGCTCTAACTGGCCTTTCCTGAGAGCCTGTCTTAAGTAGCCTCTTCCGCATGTTTTCATGGTCACCTTATGGAAGCTGTTTCCCAGCATATAGCCATACAGATAGAAACAAAACAGTATTGACCCTGGAGGAGTCTTGCGTGCCTCTGTGCTCCATGTCACACGTTTCCTCCTAGGGAGTTGTGAAAATAGGAGATGAAGAAGACGGATGGGAAGGAAGAGCTGAGGCTCTGCATGGCGTCAGGATCCTCAAATCAATCCTTTCCCCTTGTACTGTGTGCTCTGCTCCAAGGCTGAAGGACTCCTTGTCTTGTTGAGTCTCACATTGCCGGTGTCTACTGAGTGGCTGGACCAGCTCTGAGAGTCTGGTCTGGACAGTAGCAGAGCTATGAGTTTAATATATTGTTCATTTTTTTTTAAGGCTATCTGTGCTAGAGGGGCAAGTGCCACATACTGCAGTGTTTCTTATGGCTTTTTTGGTCAGTGAGGCCAAGAGGTTGAGTTGAGTGTTCAACCAGAGTCAAGAGGGTAGCACCATGAAACAGCCCCATCCCTGACACTGTGCTTGACAGATCTGGCTTGTTGCTCTCCAGCATGGTTGTGTTTAAAGGACCATTTTCTGAAGAAGTCCCTAAAGCACAGTGGTCTTCAACTGGGAGCACAGATGCGACAGCAGTAGTATATATAGCGATGATGCAAATATTTGGTAAGAAAAGTAAATTGAGACTAATCCTCATTTTGCTCACTGTACTATAATCCAAAATGACAAGCAATAAGGCATGAAGCATGAAGATGTGGAGGAGACAGAGCACTGTTGTAGTCT